TCATTAAAGACTTTTGGTGTGTAGTCCCACACATCGTCAGCAGAGTTGAGCATTTACAAAACTTAAATTAAACTTAAATACTTATATTTTCCTATCCACCTGTTTTTACACAATCAAAAACATTTCAGGACCTTATTTCTTTTCACCAATGATGACAAGGTCAGTAACTGTTGCTCTGTTGCTGATAGCCTTTCTTCAATGGACACTAATGTTGCAAAGCCTTGATTCCTCATAAACTACACGTTGTAGTAGTGTGGAAGCTAACATATGCAATACAGGCAAACTAGATTAACTGCAGCTCACGATAAATATAGTGAAGCAAATAAACAGGATAAAGTGTCAGAAAGAACACTGTAAAGATGATGATAAACGTCTCTAAGACATTGATGTTGGATCCTAAACTAGGAGTCAGAGTAGCCCTGGATGGTGTCAAAGGAACTGTCTTGTAAAAGGGATGGTGAGTACAAAGGGCTTGAAGTCGGAAAAAGCTTGGCATGATGAAAAAAACACAAGAGAGGGCATTGTGGGCTATGTGTAGGAAGAAGAAAGGGTGAAGTATAGACAGATTAAAAGGAGGAAATAGGAGGAAACACTGCTTTGGAGGCCTTTGATATGTTGATTAAATTATGAAAGTATACTGGGGGTCTCCATTTGGTCCTCCCAACAACTGAATGCTCTTGGTTTTGTGTTGTTCCATCACAGAGAGGTGGAAATTGAGGTTCATAGACTTACAGAATCAGTAGCTAATAAACAGAAACCCTAACTTGATGTTCAGACTACTGGGATTGACCATTAGACTAGATAGTCTGGCTACCTGGTTCTCTTGACTTCTACAATTGCAGATCCTCAACTTTAAAAATTATGATGATGACAAAAGCAGCAAAGGCATTATACAATTCTGGAAAAAAATGGAGAAGTATAAAACCATGATGATCTCATGCTTGCAATGGCCTCCCCACCCTTGCTTATCCACACCACTATTTATAACAATTGCTTTGAAAATACATACTTGTTGGGGAGCCAGCACTACAGTGCAGCTGCCCACAACAACAGCACTCACCAGCTCCATTTCTGATCCAGCTCCCTGGCAATGTGCCTGAACAATCAGAAGAGTATGGCTCATGTGCCTGGGCCCCTGAACAGCCTGTGGCAGACCTACATGAAACCCTTGGTTTCTGGTTCAAGATCTATTTTTGTCTTTCCCTCTTTTTTCACTCTGCCTTTTAAATAAATAAATAAATAAATAAATAACTTAAGGAAAACCCCAAACTATGTCATTTATCTGCTGAAAAACCTGAAGATTTCCAATGGTCTACCCAAAACAAAGCATTGACAAAGACATTCCACACTTGGCAATGCAGAATGAGATACCTCCAATTATTCTTTCCCTTCTATCAATACTTTTCCATAAAGCATTGTGGTGATTCTCAAAGCCAACATTAGGAACAGGCTTAACAAATGCATCCCTGTGTCCCCAGGGCTTTTTGCTCTGTTAGGATGTGAAGGGACAGAGAAGGGCTAGCAGCTGTCAGGGGGTCGCCAAATGGATGGAAACTAACATGCCCCACAGTTACCTAATGCAGTAAAAAGTCTAATCTAGTCATCTCATACAACACAGAATTTACAAAACTATTACATGCTTTGGTACCAAAAAGGCAAAAGTCATAGAGAACAAACTCCATGCTAATTAGAATTCTTACACCAGAAATACTTAGCATAGATTTGCATTTAGCTACTTGTCTAACATCATCATATCTTTTCAAATTGTACCTTACTTACTTAAATTGCTTTGATCATGCAAGGAAAGAGTCATGTGTTAGACCAAGAGGAAAACCGAGTGGCTGGGGCCAAATCAGGCTTCTACAGCTGACCCTTGGATGGGCACAACCTTCCAAGAGCACACCCCCAGTGCACTAAGCAGCTCCGAACAGACTCACCTCCCAGGCACCATAAGTGCATTAACTCTCTGCCCTTGGAGTATCATTAACTTACAACATTGAATTTTAAAGTCCAGCAAGAGTTTGGAAACCATAATCAAACCAGAACATTATGTGAAACTCCAATCTCAAAGTTATTTAAAAAGCAGAATTCAACTTTTTCTTATTGGGTTGAATTTATCTGCTAATCTACAAAATGAAAATCTCATCCATTAAAAAAAATTTTTGACACTCCAAGTGCTCTCATAAAAAATGTGATAGTTCCTTCCAGCTGAATTAGCATATATATATATATGTTGCACTTTGGGCAACATTAAGTGTTATTTATTTCAGGTACACTTATCACACACACAAAATGAACCCTGACATGCTATGCACTGAATAGGTTTGTTTTATATAAGGGATGATTTCCTGGTGATAGAACAGTGTATATCTACTAAAAGGCAGTAAAGAAAGTAGTCTCCTTTTATTCCTTAAAATTGAGGAACCTCAAAGCACATTGTTTCTCCACATATTCCTAGGTTTTCCTAACACAGACCTCATGTCCATCAAAAAAGAAGCAACGATCCTACAGTACTTTGAGTACTCAAACAATATCCTGGCCTTCATCTTAGGCCTCTTGTCAGCATAAGTAGGGCTTTGGAGTCAGAAAGCACTAGACTCAAAAACACAGAAATGTAAGAATTTAAAAACTGCCTTAGTTCCTTTATTTTTCACTGTCAGGCATTGTGCAAGTTAAGCCATCGCCTATAACCCTGTATCCCATATTGGAGTGCTGGTCCAAGACCAGGCTGCTCTGAGTTTGATCCAATTCCCTGATAATGCACCTGCAAAAGCAAGGTATAATGGTCCATTTGTTCGATCCCCGGACACCTGCATGATACAATATGATGAAAGTTCTTGGGACATGGTTTCACTCGGGGCCCACAGCTGGCTTTAGTGGCCATGCAGTAAACGATCCTGCAGAAGACCTTTCTCTGTGTTTGTTACTCTTTCAAAAAAATAAATAAATAAACCTTTTCCAAAAAGTCAGGTTTTTAAGAAATAGCATTAATTTATGATAGAAAAACTCTGGGAAAATCTACTGTGCGCTGCTATTTTTTTTTTTTTTTTTTTTTACTGCATGTCGCATTTTAACTACTTAGGCAGCAAGGGAGTAAAAACAATAGGAATTACTGCCATTGAAGTGACAGCTTTCTGGCCATCAGAGACTTAGAAGCTGACCTGGTTCCAGTTCTGACAACCAAACGAAGGCTCAATGTAACGTCTATCCACCATGGGAGGCATCGAAACCTAAGGCAATTTTAAAGAGTAGAAATACCTGTCCATAAAGACAAGTAGATCATCAACAGCTACCTGAGTAGATGACGATTCACAAAGACATATAATGGCCAGTAAAGTAAAATGTTCCCTTCTAATAACAATGAGCTGTAATACGAATTACATGGTCATGCTGCATACCAACTAGAACACGGCAAAAAATATCAATGTCAAGAATCATTAGTGTGAAAATCTTGTTACAAGTTTTCCAGAAAATTAGGTGGTTTTACTGTTGATTCCATAACTACATTTCAGCAATCTATCTTAACAAAATAATAGAAATGCAGACAACAAAAATGAAAATTGTAGCATTATTTTAAAAAGTGTTAAGCAGAAACTACTTTCCATAAGCTGAAGAATGGTTAAATGAATGCCGATATTATCAAGATACCCCTTCTTCCCACTCCCTCCAAAAAGCTGCCTAGAACCAACTCTGTGACCCTGCAGGGTACAGCTTCTCAAACTATTGCATTTTCGGTTTTAATAGCACTTACCAAATTCATATCTAGTGTCATTTCAACTGTTACAAGATTTACAAAAGAAAATATAGTGGAAAAAGACACACCACATTAACATAACTACTTGTCCTTCATGTTTTGTATACCTCAAATGGAGCCATCTTTGCTTATATTCATTATTTTTTTTTACAGTGGGCACATATTAGTTCTCTATATGAATTTGACAACAGAGTGCCAGAGAAGCAGTGAATTAACTGTCTGCTGACACACTCCCTATAGGCTTGCGGTGGCTAGGTCAGGGCCAGGCCAATGTTGGGGGCCAGGAATATAATCTGGATTTCCCATCGGGACAGCAGGAACCCAGAACCTGCTATCCCCCAGGCTGTGGTTAGCAGGAAAGTAGAATCAGGAGCCAGAACTGGGAACCCAGCCCAGCACTCCAACACAGCACAGAGAAATTTCAAATGATACCTCAACCAAAAGGCTAGCCACCTACTCTAATATTATTTCCATAATAAAATGTTAAATATATGAATAAAAAAGAAAATATACATTATGATAATTACATAATAAAATCAGAAAACATTCCACAACACTAATATTAGTTGAGTGCTAAATACATTAATATTAGCTCATCATTTGTGTATATTCAAAGTTTTATATTTATTATCTTCATGTTTCTGTCATATTTGTCTATTTCATATTTTGTGCAATTGGCATGTTATTTCTGTAATCAAATAGTACATAAATCCTGGAGGAAATCACAGAAGAAAATGCAAGGAGGGACATAAATAAAGGGCAGAGAACCTCAGGGCTGCCCTGTCCAGCACTGCAGAGCAGGAACAAGAACTGGGCCAAACAGCAGAGTAGCTCTGCAACCAAACATGGGGTGTTGACGACACATGAACAAATGAAAACGGTGATATGGCTTGAGAGACCCCAAAGTACAATCTAGCCCCCATCAACATTGGTAAATTAAGTAGTACTGCAATCCACTTGTGCAGCCTACAAAGAGACCTCACAAACTACAAAATATACACTATCTGGTCCTTGGCAGAAAGTCTTTTGAACCTGGTCTACAGAAAGCACAAGGTGGTGGGTGGTGCCAACAAGGGCCACTGTTTGAGGATGACAGCTGCAGACGGATTCAAATAGAGAAAAGGAGGGACAGAAAGGGGTTCCATCTCCAAATACGGAAGGCACTCTTGCATCAAGAAGTTACGACCATTCTATACACTGCCTATGCAAATAAACGGACAGCAGGAAAAGGTGTCAGATCCATTACCTGAAGGATCAGAATTGTAGAGACTGGCAGTGGCTGCTATGGGTCCTGGTGAGTGGATGGCACTCGCTGACGACCTCTGACTTGCAATCAGGATCCTGCTCTTGGCAGATGGCAGACGGGACATGGCGCCCAATCCCAGCTGGGGCTTAAGGAGCATGGCAGACCGATAGAAAGTTGGAGGGACTTCATAATGAGAATAGGGAGGAGAACAAAATTCTTTTTTTCCAGGATGCTCTGTAACCTGTAAGATAAATGATCAGACATTCAGAGAAGAGCACGACCAGCATGAATACTAAACAGAGTCAGGAGATTCAGGCTCGAGCAGTGGGCAGTGTCATGGAGTGGCTTCATGTCCAGCCAGCACCTCCTCAAGCCCAGCACTCCCCTCGCTGCCTTGACAACACAACTGCATGAGCTTTCACATCTCTTCCAGTGCAGACACCCCATGAATCTCTATTGCAATGACAGAAAAGGGATCTCATTCCTTAAGGTTTCACTTTACTGTTACAAAACCATTGGAATTTGAATGAGTAACCAAGCTATAAATGCATAGTATCAATGAAGCAAAGAAAGATTTTAGCAAATGTCCATAAAATTACAAAAATTTAATTATACCCATGGAGAAAAGGCATGATCTTTGATGGCAACCTAGTCTTATAAGTATATGAACCATAGCAATTTATATTGGCCTTTCCCAGGAAATGTAATATGCATTGTTAATAAAGGAGTCACAGTTACTTAGAACACAGACTCTAATGGAATATGTGTTTTCAGCCCTCCAATTTGTGCATATGTAATGCAAATCCAGAGACTCAATATCTTCCTCTGATGACTTTCCTTTGGAAGGCCGCACTCCTGGAAATATTGGAGCAAACTTCACCAGAGTGGAAGTTCCAAGCAGAGCCATGGTGACCGCTGAATTCACAGCTCAGAATGTACTACACACATAGCTGCAGCCACTACATCTTCATTGAGAAAGAAATCCTGTATCCATGCCTTCCTCAAAGGAACGTTACATTACTGCAATTTTATCCTACAGTCAACCATATGGGCTATAATACTACTTGGGGATTGCTTCTACAAATGCCATTCTGTGCTCACAATATCTGTTCATATGATCACCATATCTTCATATTAAACACACACACAAACTAAATGATCTATTTCCTTTAAGTTACAGTTAAAAAGCACAGTGCTAGGGGCAATATATGAAAAGATACTTCTGTTAATTAACTCTGCTCTAATTCACAATACACTTTACATGTCAAGCTCCATCTACTCAGCCATCACAAGTGTTTAACAAAATTCAAGTGTGGCTAGACAAGCTTTGATCTATGTTGAAGAAATAAACTCCCTAATTTCATATTCTTTTAGTGCTGAAATGGATACAAAATTCTTCTTAAAGCTGGCATTATTGAAACAAAAGATTAGGCCTTTAAAATTTAATTATAATCACCTTGTAAAATATTCATGATTGGTACAGCAGAACTACGGCATTCAGGCTGCTGGAAATGACATCCTTGTGAAATAACATTTTACATATGCATACTGATAAAAGTTTTACCATTCACAACCTCCCTTCACACTATCAATCCCTGGCTTTCTTCTTTTTTCAAATATTTATTTGAGAATTACAGACAGAGAAACAAAGACAGTGGTACAGAGTATATAACAGAGAGGAAGCACTCCAAAGTGCTGGTTGGCTCCCGCAGATTCCTACAGCTCATCTGGGCTGGGCTGGGTCCAAAGCAGAGAAACAGCAATTCACCCCAGATCTTCCACATGAACAGCAGAAACCAAGCACTTGAGCCATCACCTGCCTCCCAGGGACTAGAACAGCAGGAAACTACACTTGGGAATGGAATCCAGGTACTCCAACATGAGACCAAAGTGTATTATCTATTAAGTTAAACTCCTGGACCCGATTTTTCCCTCCTCTCTGTTTGTCTATTATTTATTTGTTTGCTTATTTTAGTTTCTACATTTCAGGTGCTCAATGATTTGAGCAAGGGCAATCATGAATAACAGTATCATTCCAAGTATTCATCTGTCTGGCTGTTAGGATTACAATATGCCACTCTCATCAATGACTCATTTCTTTGGGACTGCATGCTTTTTCAGGGTTCAGCCTCCCACCCACCCACCCACAGACACATGGTGCCATTGATGATTTCAGGAACTACAAAGCCTGTCATTTTCCTGGATCATACTTTTCTGAAAAGATGCTAATTCTTTTAAAAAGGTAAAAAAAAAAAAAAAAAAAAAAGGATGCCTCGGGTATCTAGTTCATGCATTTTTAACTTAAAAGGGGAAGCCACAAAAAGCTTCACACTCTTTCATGTGCTTCACAGAACCTAACGAGTAACACAGAACAGTCACCAACACGGGGCCATCAACACCAAACACTGCTGTCCCCTGTCCAATGGAGTACAATGCAAAAAACGCATCCACAGAACTCGTAAAATCCAGGTGCAGATTCTCTTAACAACAGCCTGGGCCTCTTGGATGCCCTGATTACAGTAGGCAGAATGGCCACCTGCTGTACAGTAGGAACAGCAGGGCAGTGATACTGTCACCACAACAATGGAGTCTTTCCAGCCTTCTCAGAACCATGGGAGGCCACATACAGTACTCACTGATGGTCCCTCTTCTCACTTGCCTGATCCAGTTGTTCCCTGGACCTTATGCTGGAGATACAAGGGGCAAAGTTGCAGCTGCAGGAGGTGGGCTTCCAGGAATGCCACAGGAAGGAGGGTAGGCTCCTGCCATGGGCCATGTTAGGGGTCACTTGGCAGGGCTGCACTACTCTGATATTCAATCAAGTGTTACTCTATAGGTGGCTGTGAAGGTTTTGTGAGTTTTTATTTGTTTGTTTTTGCATAAAGTAGGTGGGTCTCCACTAACCAATGGAATGTCTTAGTGAAAAAGCGGGCTTATTCTCCTAAAGGAGGAAGTTCAGCAACTCTTGGGAGCCCAGACTGTTGACCTGTCTGGCAGATCTTAGGTTGTTGGCCTCAGAAATTATGGGACTCGATTCTTAACAATCCATCTCGCTCTGTATGGGAGCATGTGTGTGTGTCAGTATGCAAGGATGTGTACGCCCCTGGGCCTCCTAATGGTTCTCTTCCTTGGGGAAACCTGATTAAGGCAGAAGTCTCAGGGATGAGGTATTACAAGGCAGAGGGGAGAGAACAGCCCTGCATCACATACCTGCACACTGCCAGCACAATGCCTCCCTTCCTCTTCTCCATGCCATCCTCTTCCCTCATCCCTTCATCACCATCATCAGCATCAGTGGGAAGGAGAACCCCTGAGGCCTCAGGAGAGCCAGAAGCAACAGTCTAAATAAGGCTCTTATCTCCTGAGCATGCCACACCCCAGACCACCCTGCAGCTACCTCTGTAAGCCTGACCATGTCTGTGATGTACCTGCAGGCCAGGCAGAACCTGCCTTGCTTACACAACACTCCTTCCAGATTTCTACACTTATGTCCACACTTTAACAACAGGGACCTGCCAGCAAATTGCAAGAGTCTGAACCTGGCTTTGGTTTTACATATAAACCTCTTCCATTTCTTTTTTTTTCCCCATTAAAAAAAAACTGCATGTGTATATATGTACGCATACACATTTTATATATATGTATATATGATTAGACATTTTATATGTATTTCTCATTATATACATATATACATGGCGGGAGCTTGAGTAACTGAAACATCTTATGTTGTAACTGGTCAGGAAGACCTTGTTTCAGGGACACAGGTTGAAGCTGTTCCATGCAGTACTCAGGAAGGACAGGCACCCTGGTGGCACTAGGGGTGAGTAGCTTTGGGATAAGAGCCCGGACACAGCCTGAACCCAGGCAAGGGATTCACTAGGCTACATGGACTTACAGTAGTAGGGGCACATGGCCAAGGGATAGCCTTCTTGCCACATTTGAACAAGGTTACCATGCAAATTAGCACAACACCCAGGGCTCCCTGCTCTATCTTACAAGGACCTGAGCTTCTCAGATGCTCTGATTACAGCAAAACAGTGAGCCACCACTCCCCACTCCTCACTCCTCACCAGGTACAGTGGTCATCAAAGGATTGCAACACCGTCATCATAATAAAATTGTCTCTCCAGATTCCTCAGAACCATAAAAACCACAGGGCACTCATACAATCTTATTACCATGGAACTTGGAATAGTTTCCAGAAGAACGAAAGAGAAGAAATAGCCTTGGGGAGTATATATGCTTATAATATAGGAATTATTCTTGAAAGGAGCAAAAGCAACACAGGAAAATAAATAAAATCAGAAAAATAAATAGAGCTGCACAGAGAAAATTTCAGCTAACATCGGGATCTTCCCCCTCTCTCTTATAGCTTCCCCTCATGCACGTGTGTCTGTAGAGATAACCCCAAGTTCTGTGCACGCATGCTCTGCAGCGTTCTTTTGGGGGAAAGGAAGGCATACTCACTGCTCCAGTGAGCTCTGGCACCTGGATCTTCCAGGAGATATGGCTCCTAGAGGCCTCATGCCGGATGCCCCTCATTTTGGAGTACAGCCCAGCACCAGAGCCTGGCTCTGAACCTCAGGGGTCCAGCAAGGTGAGCCCTTGGAACTGTGAGAATGACTCATCCAAACTTTAATGTCTAATGCCAGAATGGTCATTTGTCGACATTGAGGGAGTTGTCTACATTCACACGTGAATGTTCTTCTAGCCAGAACAAGCTGCGACAGATCCATTTAGAAGTCCACTGATAAGCAGGAGGCCATGCAGTCTGTGCAAAAAGAAAAAGCCCTGCCAAAGCAATGAGATTGCCAACTTCTCCATTCAGCCATCTATCTCCAGGGTCAAGAGGCTGGGAACAGTTTCAGGCATTGCTGGGCAAGGATGGAATTAGAAGCTAGAGAATGACCTGTGGGAGTCATTCCAAGGGCCTTTCCAAGTAGTCGGCTGGCTGGGACACCGGATCAGTGAATGTCCTGGTAAGTGCAATATGACAGACAAGATTCATCCTTTCCTCTGTTACATAACACAATGTGTGCTGGGATCAATATAGCCTTTAAATAAGCCAGTGGATCCAATCAGGCTAGACTCAGCTGTTCTATCTCTAGCTTTGGTCAACTTTTGGTTGGATTCAACATATGTAAAGTTCATAGCTCAGCTGTTATTCATCATTTTTACAGCATGTGCTTATACAATGCACTCTTCTAAACACTGAGAGTAAAACAGAAACAAAAACTGTAGAGTCTCCATTCATATATGGTACATTAGGTAAGTTCTAGGAAGAAAAAGAGAAATGGGCAGCTTGGTCTCCAGCGAGGTGACATCTGAACACAAATGGAAGGGAAGCAAGGAAAAGAGCCATTCCGATAACAAGGAGAAGCAGCACAAAGGGTCAGAAGCTTCAGAATAGGGAGCGTATGGAGAGTAGCACCGGTTGGTAACGGAACCTCGACAGCTATAATCTAAGCAATGAGGCATCCTAACATTCACATTTGTACTTCACATGTTTGTGGGCTGCTTTGTGGGGAATCAGAGAGAAAAATGGGATCCAGCCCTCATTTTAGCTGGCTGTCTTGAAGAAGATATGTTAGGAGGAGCCACTGCACCAGGCACAGATGGAGCAACAGTGCATGCTGAAACGGCACAGGACTGAGTAAGGAATTCAGTGTGGTCCTTGTTTGTAACCCCCACGTGGCCAACTTAAGCTTTTCTTCATCTGTAGAGTAATTAAAAACTACAACACCAGCTTTGAGATTTGCTATAGAGATCTATGAAGACTGACAGACTAGAGCTTACACCATGGGGGTCTTGCATTCACTCAGCTAAAGGCTAGCTCTAATTGTTATTTTCACTTGAAACAGCTCATGCCAAACACACTACTTTCTGCTCACTTACTGTTCCCTTGCAAAAATATGAGATTGACTCCCTAAAAAACACTCCCTTAAGAGCACAAAACCAATCAACTTGCTTCAACATATTCACTCTAAATTCTTCAACCTGAGTGAAGGAACTATACTCACCTATTTCAACAAGGAAACCAATTTAAATGCATGTGTTGTAATTTCATATGCATTCTACAACTTCTAAAGGGTCTCCTTAGATGTTGAATCCATCTCATTATGACCGCCTCTTCTAGCCCAAAATGTTCATTTCAGGATGAACACTTGGCATAACAAACAAGCTCCCGGTTGGAACACCTGCATTCCTCATGGAAACACCTGAGTTCTAGTCCCAGTGCCACTCCTAATTTCAGCTTTCTGCTTTGGTAAGCAGTAAGTGATGGTTCAAGTCAGGTGATCCCTACTACCCATGTGGGAGACCTAGACTGAGTTCCCAGTTCTTGGCTTTAGCCTGGGCCAACCATGCTTGCTGCATGATATGAGGGGTAAGCTAGCAGATAAAAGCTCTTCTCTCTCTTCCGCACTTCCTACATCTCTCAAATACATTTTGTTAACTGTCCATTTCTCTAGATAATCACAAAAAAACATCCATTGCTACCCATGTGCACTGTAAAAGCCATGAAACCTCAAGGAGTATATTTTGTTTTCACAACTCATTAGAAATGTGTAACATTGTTTTAGCATGCTCAACCTAGAGGCAATACCACAGCGAAAGTCTCTTACCTCCTGCAAGAACTTTTCACTCATTGGACCGAAATGATGGCCTGGAGGCTTGATTCCAGACACCATGAGCCCAGAACTGAAGACCCGTGGTTTCTGCAAGTCAGGCTTGAACTTCTCATACAGGCTGGCAGATGGCTTGAGGTCACCACTGGCTGCCTTCTCCTCTTGGGGGAGAGGTCCGCTACATGTGGACGGGGCATAAGGGAGCCCCACGGGAACCAGGGAAGTATCCACCTGGCCCAGGGCCTGAGGATTCCTTCGGATGTAGGTTATGATTTTGGGTCTCACATGCTTCGGCTTGGGCATGATGAGGGGCTTGCTTTCTAACCTTTCTTCTATTTTCTCCACCTGTTGGTTCTCCATCCCCTCCTGCAAGGAAGGTGTGTCCTTGGGTGTCACAGAGACAGGCTTGGGGATCCCACAGGGGCAGGTGCTCTTGTCAGGCACTTTGGAGGATGTGTCCAACAACCCTGCCCTGTCGGTTGGGGGTGGGGCTGCCGAAGGTGACCCCGTGTTCACACTGAACATGCTGAGCTCCTGAACACTGCTACTGGGTGATGGAGGCTGGCGGGTGACATTCACAGTTGTCTCTGGGTGTGGGGATGCCTGGATATTGGGAATTGAATCTGTTCCTGCTGGAGTGATTTCAGCTTTGGCTGCATTTTCTGGAAGGTTCCCACTTTCCACCATAGCTGCAGTGATTCCTTTGCCGCCTTCTGCTTCTGGCTGGCTGCTCTGAGTGCTCAAGGGTTCAACATCCTCAGTTGTGCTTGCTCTGACCAAAGAGTCTGATGCCAACACCATGGAACTGTCCTGCTGCCCACGGTTCGGCCTTGCCTTCTCAGTGGCACCCAGGAACTGCCTGCCCACTTGTTCATTAAGAATAAATCCTACATGGCTGGCATCTGGAGAAAGTTGGTTGCTTGTCCTTTCCTCCAATTTCCTACTTGTACCTGGTGAAATTTTCCCAGTGGGCTGACTATCAGACACTCCCAAGGAAGCAGCGCCCTGGGTGGGCCTAGTATACAGGAAGTCTTCCTCACCTAGGGTGGCTCCCGACTTGTCCTCCTCACCACTGCTGCTTCCCACCCCTACATAGTGGGGGCTTCTGTATGAGAGACCACCAACAACATCAGGGGCTTCATGCTGTGCTTCCCCACACAGTTCCTTCAAGTCCTTGTCCTGTCCCAGACCTCCTGCCTGGCTCTCCTTGAACTCCTGTCCAACCCCAGCAGAAGTAGGTTTTATCTCCAGCTTGGGTTCCTCTTTTCCCTGACCCAATTGTGCTTCTGGTATACTTGGGGTTGCCTTTGCTGCTGAGACCAGACTGAAAGGGGGCTCAGGATGGACAGAATGTGACATGGGCTCACTGCAGACATTCAGGATGTGGGTGCCCTCTTTTGAGGTCTCACAGAGGGTGGTCTCCTTAGCTTCTGAGGTAGATGGTTTAGGAGGACACACACTCTTTCCCTCAGAGGTACTGTCAGCAAGGGCAGAGGCTGCCCCTAAACAGGGGTCCATCAGCGTCCCCTCCACACCCCCAGACACAGGACTCCAGGCCTCAGGGGAAGTCAGCCTGCCCAGCTGCAGGTGCTGTAGAGACTGGCTCCCCAGTACCACTGCAGAGCTGCCGGCCCGTCCCAAAGAATGCCTTCTCAACTCATTGTCAAGGGTTTTGGCTAATTTGTCCTTGGGAGGAGGTCTGTGGACTTCAGCAGCATCCCTTGTAGGTAGAACCTCTGGACTGGCCTCACCCATCAAACCCCTCCTGCTTGACGAACTTGGTCCCTGAATGCCCCACAGGGGCTGCAGGAGATCCAGGCTGCCCTGAGGGGTGTGCTCTTTATTTTGTTCCCATTGAACAGTCTGAGAAAGGGGAAGGTCTTTCCGGCTGCCAGAAGCAGCCTGAACTCCTTGCACAAAGCCCTGAGGTTGGAGCAGCTCCTCCTGGAAGTGGGTCTGGTGCTCTGATTCATTTGAATTAGCGTTTCCAATCTCCTGAGACAGGCCACGCTGCTCAGACTCACGGTGAGAGGAGCTGACTCCCAGCATGATCGGATTGGCATTTGTGTCTCCCAAACTCAGTAGGCTCTCATTACTGTTTCTGGCTCCATTTTTGCTGTGCCGCAAGGGAGTGTAACATGACTTCTTAGGTGCCACCGGGACATTCATGGTCAACCCCTCAGTGGGGATCGCAGGCCATGTGGCCCTATTCAGCAGGAGGGGACTTCTGCTGGGCCATATGATTTGGTGCAGAGGAGAATCTCATGGGGCTTGTGCCTCTGTGGTGTGATCACATTGAGATACTGTTCTAATCGTCTTCACAATAGTAGTAAGCAATGTCTTGATACAGAGCAGGATTACTCCTCCATCAGGTGCCTACCGAGTGAGAGTCACTTACTCCATGAGACCTAGAGAGAGAGAAAACATATTCATGCTGGACCAATAGATAGAGTCTTGGGAGAAAACAGCAAAACACCATGACGTATTCATTGCCAACATATATCACATCATCCCTCAATGTTCTTATCCAAATCCTTTCAGATAAGCTTATCTGTCAAATATGGAAAAAAGGACACAGCAGAGTGATTCACATGACAAGTGGATGATAAATGCACATTAAACCTAAAGTTGGAATTTGAAAGATGCATAAGTCCATGCTGACACTAATAACGTTTGCAAAGGGCAGAAGAGAATGGGAGTCTCTTTTTCACAGAATATTGACCAATAGAGGAAAAAATAGAGAGAAACAGAAAACTAAGTCAGTAATCCAATCACTGCAGAAATCACTGGTCAATGGTCACCGATGGATGGAAAATCATTGGGTGAAACATCCTCTGGGAGTAAGATATTCATAGACTTTATTTAGCCTCGTCAGACTGACTCTTAAAGTCTCATCCCCAAATTGCTTTTCTAGCCAGGAGGGAATTTTGTCTTGACAGTAGAGAAATCTGGTGGAGAGTACATCTGCCAAGTGATGAAATGTCCCATGACGGCGAAGAGAAACCACCATCATGGCTGCTGATGTCAGCCTGTTGTCAGGGACACACAGCATCCTGGTGTCTTTGCCATAAATGCTAAGGTCCAATATGACCATGAGAAAATTAATTTTAAAACTGAGGAATAGTTGATAAAATAATCTAGCTGACCTCTAAACACTAACAGATTCTGAGTTTATTTTTTAATAAGCGGAAGAAAATATTGAAGCAATCATAAATGTAGGCATGAACTATGCATTAGGCAAAGGTATTCTGTCAATATTAATGTTCTTACATGTATAATAGGAATATTTACGTGGATATTATCTTCTGGGCAAGATTCATGATGTAGAATTTAGGAGTACCATGGTCTTTTTTTTAAAAAAGATTTTTATTATGTTTTTATTGGAAAGGCAGATATACAGAGAGGAGAGACAGAGAGGAAGATCTTCCATCCAATGATTCACTCCCCAAGTGAGCGCAACGGCCGATGCTATGCCGATCCGAAGCCAGGAGCCTCTTCCGGGTCTCCCACGCGGGTGCAGGGTCCCAAAGCTTTGGGCCGTCCTCGACTGCTTTCCCAGGCCACAGGCAGGGAGCTGGAAGGGAAGCGGGGCTGCCGGGATTAGAACCGGCGCCCATATGGGATCCTGGGCGTGCAAGGCAAGGACCTTAACCACTTGCGCCACCGAGCCGGGCCCCATGGTCTATTTTTTAAATATATTTTTTTATTGGAAAGTCAGATATACACACAGAAGCAGAGACAAAGAAAGAACTTCTGTCAAGATAAATATAAGAGTTTCACTGGGAGTCCATCTTTGATTTAGAAGTAGCGGTGCACACTGCATTGTGTCTTCACATTTGAAAATGACAGTCTATTACACAGTTATCATACATCCCTTTAAATTTAAAAAAAGCCATAAAATAAAAACAGGAAGAAAAATAGAAAATTTATGACATTAAGTTAAATAACATTCTACTGAATGTCCAATGTGTTGCTGAAGAAATGAAAAAATAAAAAACCTTCTTGAAGCAAACAATGTTACTTGTATGACCTATGAGTCAGTGAAGAAATTAATAAGCAAAAAAACTTTTTAAAAAAGGAAAATAGAAATGAGAATATCAAAGCCCATGAGATGTGGCAAAAATAGTACTGGAAGGGATATTTATAATATCAGGGGCTTACAAAAAATCAAAATATCTCAAATAAATGATCTAATAATGCATCTCAAGGATTTATTTAAAAAGGAACAGCAAGCAAGAAATGATAAAATCACAGCCAAAAAAAAATCAATGGAATTGAAACTAAAAAACCAAAAACTGCAAGAAGAGCCATTTTTAAAAGATGAACAAAACAACCTTTCAGCTAGACTAGCAAAGAAAAGCAAGAGAGAAAAGCCAAGGAAAATTAGAGATGAAAAATAAAACATAAAAATTAGTAAGGTGATCTCTTTTTGCTGGATGGATCCTTTGATCATTATGTGCTGTTCATCTCTTTTAATATTTTTTTCATGCCAAAGTATATATTATCTAAGAGTGGTTACACCAGCTCATTTTTCCTTTCCATTAGCCAAGAATGTCTTTCCATCTTTTCACTTTGAGTTTCCACATCTTTGTTGTGAGAAGTGTTTCCTGTGGGAAACAGATGGAGGGTTTTGTTGCTTGATTGGTGTATTTGCGCCATTTACATTCAGGGTTAATATGGATAGGTAGTAATTTGGTCCTGTCATTTTAGCAATGGGTTGTTCATTGCTTGATTTAGCCTTCTCTTGTTTTATTGGTACATTTTCTAGATCTGCATTTGGTATTAGTAAGTGCTCCATTTCTCTGTCGGGAGAACATCTTTAAGTATGTTTTGTAGGGCAGGTCTGGAAGGGGCGAATTCTTTCAGCTTTTCTTTATGTGGAAGAATTTTATTTCATTTTCAAAGACAAAGGAAAGCTTTGTGTGGTAAGTTATTCTGGCCTGACAATTTCTTCCTTTAAGATTCTGGAATATGTTGCTCCATTCTCCTGTGGCCTATAGAGTTTACTTTGAGAGGTCAGGAGTGAGTCTGAATGCGTTTCCTCTGTATGTTAATTGTTTTTTTACATGCATATTTAAGGTTCTTTTCCCTGTGTTCAGCTGAAGAGTTGATTATCATGCATCATGGCGAAGCTTACTTTTGGTCACTCTATTGGGAGTTCTGTTCCCCTCCTGTATTGTTACCCAATTCTTTCTCCAAATTAGGGATGTTTTCCTTGATTATTTCATTGAGTGTATTTTTAAATAAAGCTTATCTTTTTGTGTCTTCAGGAATTCCCATAACTTTTATATTTGGCCTTTTAATACTGCATCTTTATTCTTGAATACTTTTTTAGCTTGATTCAGTTCCTCTTCCAGCTTTATTTTTCCCTATTGTTGAAACAAATCTCTTCCAAGATTCTTTCTTCTGCCTGACTCATTCTATTATTGAGGCTTTCCACTGAATTTTGACTTTTGCTCCACTGTGTCCTTCATTTCTAACAATTCACCTTAATTTTGTTTCAATGCTGCTATTTAGCGTGTAAATTATTCCTTAAATTCCTTGAACTCCTTTATGTACCCCTTGTCGTTGTTAAGAAGCTTTATAACAAGTTTTCGTAAATTCTTTATCCCTTATATTCTCAATGTTTTCCTCAGTTAACTCTGAGGTTAGCCAAGGCTTTTGCTCCTTTGCAGGGGGGCCAATGTGGACAATCACTCCTGGGTCCCTGCCTGTTACTTGGTGACCATAGCTCACCACTTACCTGCCCATGACCTAAGGTACAGCTTCCAGCCCTACACATGTAACATGACCTCCAACATGACTAAAAGGTCAAGGGGAATACACATGGAACATGACCACTGACATGACTAGAAGATAAAGGGGAACAGATGTGGCTTGGAGCCAACTATACATCTTTGGTGGGTGGGAGAACGGCTGGAAGATGTCCTCTTGCCCTTCCCTTCCTTAGTCTTCATAACTTGATTTTTGTTTTTTTTTTTAAGATTTATTTTATGTGTTATTGGAAAGTCAGATACACAGAGAGGAAGACAGAAAGATCCTCCACCTGTTGATTCACTCCTTAAGCAGCCACAACAGCCAGAGCTGTGCCACTCCAAAGCCAGGAGCCTGGAGCCTCTCCTGGGTTTCGCATGCAGGTGCAGGGTCCCAAGGCTTTGGGCCATCCTCAACTGCTTTCCTAGGCCACAAGCAGGGAGCTGAATGGGAAGTTGTGCCTCTGGGATTAGAACCAGCTCCCACATGGGATCCTGGTGCGTGCCAGGTGAAGACTTCAGCCGCTAGGATACCACAGCAGGCCAGCCCTTAAAACTTGTAACTTGTGCATACAGAAGTGAACATTCCTCACCAGCTTGTTTCTGGTGATTTTTTGGCCAAGGAACAACTATCACCTCACCTTTGGAGACCTTAGGGCTTGCTGGCAGGTTTAAGCAACAAGAGGACATCAGTGATACTCATTGTGCCTCTGTCTCTTATTTTTGCTCTTGGTAACTACTATTTTGGTTAGCAGATTCCTGTCCACAGGGCTGTTTTTTTTTTCTCTCTTTCTAAAAAAGATTTATTTATTTTGATTGGAACGGTAGATCCACAGAGGAAAGGAGAGACAGAAAGACCCTCCATCTGCTGGCCCACTCCCCAAGAGGCCGCAATGGCCAGAGCTGAGCAGATTTGAAGCCAGGAACCAGGAGCTTCTTCTGGGTCTCCCATATGGCTGCAGTGTCCTGAGGCCTTGGGCCATCTTCTACTGTTTTTGCAGGCCATAAGCAAGGAGCTGGAAGGGAAGTGCAGCAGCCAGGACACAAACTGGCACCCATATGGGATGCCAGCACATGCAAGATGAGGCCCAGACACTAGGCCACTGTGCCAAGCCCATGACCAGTTTCTAAGCTGTGTTGCTCACTGGTCTACAGGTTGATTTTACTGATTTCACTCGGTACCCAGGCCTTTGGTTTATAGTCACCTGTGTATATAAACAAGTTGATTGGGATGGGCACACAGGGGATATTGTGACTTGGACAGGAGAAGTATCTAGCTAATTTCAGCAATATAAAAATACATCATGGAGATAACGATAATGAAAGTGTGAAGGGGAGGGGGAGGATAATTGGAAGGATATAAGGGAGAAAATAGGGGGGGTTGATGTGTTAAATGGTTGTGGGATTATATAAGGA